TGTCAAGTTGACTGCCTCATTTGCTCAGAGGCTCCTCGTGGCTCTCGTAGTGTAAGCTGAAAGCTGTCAGAGCCACAACACTGAAAACTCTTCTGCTCCACCTTTATCCCAAGCACCGGTGGCCTTGCCATATTCAATTTGGGCCCTTCTTGCCTCCATCCCCCTTACAAATGTCATATTCCATGTACCCCAGCTGCCTGCATGCCCTTCTGTCAGCAGAGCACACCCTGCCAGGCAGAGCTGTACTAAAATAGCAAATATCAGATCCACACTGAAAGGCTGCCTGTGTTCTCAACCCCCGTGTGCTGTGATTCTGTCTTGGCATTTAAAGTTAAGTGTGGCAGGAATTCCAACTGCAACCACAGAAAGCAACAGCCCTTCAAGAGCTGAGCAAGTCAATGGCCCAAAAAAGAACAGACCCCAGACAGTCAGAGACTGACCCTTCTCTGATCCTTATCACCCACCTCCTGCTTCCTCCACCTCCGTGACTGCCGCTCTGGTGCCGGCCCCCACCATCTCTCACCTGGACACTGCAGCAGCCTCCAACTGGTCTCCCTGCTTCCGATGCCCTGAATCCTCAGTACAGCAGCCAAAGCAACTCTGCTAAGCCTAAGGCAAGACCATGCCCTGTCTCTGCTCAAAACCTCCAAAGCCTCCCCACTCACTCAGAATTAAAGAATAACAGTTTCGTCTTCACTACAAACTTTCACTACAATCATGCCCTGTGATTCTCTGCCCCGCCTTCGGCTACAGCCACTCTGGCCCCTTGCTTCTCTCGTCAAACACACCCGCAGTGCTCCCGGATCAGGGCCCTTGCACTTGCTCCCTCAGCCTAGACCGCTCTTCTCCCAGCTACCCAGCGGGCCTGTTCCCTCAGTTCCTGCAAATCTTTACTCAAAGGTCACCTTCTCAGTGAGGGGTTCCCTGGCCACCTTATCACCATGAAACCCTCCCCATGGCACCTGCCCCTGCCTCTTCCCTGCATTATGTTTTGATAGCAGTTATTACCTTATGATAGTTAACTCTCAACTTAGGTAACATTCTTTATTCCCTCCTCTCCCACTCCATCATAAGCTCTCTGAGAACACAGATCCTGGTCTATTTTGTTCACTGATACATCTTTAGCACATGGAGCCATTCCTGGCTCATAGTGTGCGTTAACTATTTGCTGCATGAATTATCAAATTCTCAAAACTGTCCAAGAGGCCTCACTTTTCTCATCAAAGAAAACTGGGCTAGGCCAAAAAAATTTCCACTGTATGCCATAGCAACTTAGGTCTAACACAACTCCCTCATGTCACAGATACAGAAATCAATGGTCCCAGGGGTGACATGACTTGGTGAAGGTCACACAGATATTACTAGAAAGAGAAGGCTAAGGGCCGGCCCGGTGGCGCAATGGAGAGTGCGCTGCTTGGGAGCGCGGCGGCGCTCCCGCCGAGGGGTCGGATCCCATGTGGGTGACATGACTTGGTGAAGGTCACACAGATATTACTAGAAAGAGAAGGCTAAGGGCCGGCCCGGTGGCGCAATGGAGAGTGCGCTGCTTGGGAGCGCGGTGGCGCTCCCGCCGAGGGTTCGGATCCCATGTGGAGACCGGTTCCCGCTCACTGGCTGAGCGCGGTGTGGGCGCGACACCGAGGGTTGCAATCCCGTTGCCGGTCCCCAGTATGGGCATGACACCGAGGGTTGCGATCCCATTACCGGTCAGTAAAAAAGATTTAAAAAAAGGAAAAAAAAAAAAAAAAAAAAAAGAAAGAGAAGGCTAAAATCTAGGAGTTGGACTGCCCAACTCTTAGTCAAAGGTCCTTCTACCATACCACACATCCCAACTCATCCAGAAAAGAAATTTCTAAGAAAGCATCAGACAAATATACAACCTAAGGACAAATGCGTGCATAGAACAGAGGGGTCCATTAGTAAGACCACCTCTCATGCAGTGTATGACCTTGGCCGAATCATTTATTCTCTCCAGGCTAATCTGGAAGATAGTTTGGATCAATCGTCATTTATTGGTACTAATAATGCAAAGATGAGTGACAGATATTCCCTAAATTTGCAGAGCTCACTGTCTACTGAAAACAACTGCAAACGGACAATACTGAGTTAGATGCATAAAAGGGCACATTAGTTCAGACTGCATGAAAACAAGCCAGGCTTTAGGAGGACGTGTGCTAGACGTGAATTTTGAAAACTAAAAAAAGGGAAGCTAGGCAAAAGGGAGGAAAGGAACATTATGGTCAGCTATAAGAGCATGAAACCGACAGAGGCATCACACAGCACGGTATGCCAAGGAACCTACAAGTCTGTCAGCACTTCTGAGGGCAGAGTTCAAAGCATGAAGGGGTGGGAGATGTGGGTCAACAACTGAGCAACAGTCAGGTTATAAAGGACCTTAGACATCATACAAAAACACACTTCTCAGCATGGCATTTTAGGGGAAACAACCAAGGGGCTTTAAACCAAGCCTATCTCAGTGAGTGTGCTTGGAGAACAAAGCATGTGGTTTGCAAACTACACAACACTGGTAGACATAACACTTGCAGAGCACCAAGAATAGTACCTAGCAAATACTAAGTGCTTAGTGCATATCAGTTAATATTGTCATAGGAATTATTAAGGGTTATACTATGTAAAAGATCCCTTAACAGCCTTGGATTTTGTGGTAGGTAGTCCTTCTCCTGCATTTCCTAGGTTGAGGTCTGCACTCAAAAAAAAAAAAAAGTAAAACCTCCAAGGGAACTGCTCGAAAGAGCTGACAAAGCCACAGGAACCTGGCCAGGATCTCTGCCAACACTGTGCTTGTGCAGGTGAAGGTGAAGACTAGGTATGTAGCTAGTGATCACCACCACTGATAGGAAAAAGGGCATACCTTTGCAACTCCTCCTTCAGGGAAGAATTCCAGCCTGTCACCTGAAATAGCAGCACTGCCAAGGCAAGGGCCACAGAACAGAAGGGGAGCACAGAGGCTGTACAGGCCTTTCTGGTGGGCCCACCTCTCCCTTTTCTCCTGCCTTCTTTAGTGACAGCCTCTAACAATTGTCCAAGACTCAACTCCAACTCTCTAAGTGTAATATGTAAAGTGCTCTTGAAAGTGCCTAAGACACAGCACAGCATCAAAACCAAAGGAAAAAGAAAGTCTGTGTTTGGTACCTCACAAAGGAAAGTTGGGGACTGTATAAGTTTTCTGTGGCTGCCATAACAAATTACCACAAACTTAATGGCTTAAAACAACAGAAATTTATTCTTTCACAGTTCTGGAGGCGGGAAGTCTAAAATCAGGGTGTCAGAGGGGCTGTGCTCTCGGCGAAGCCTCTAGGGGAGGATCCTTCCTGCCTCTTCCAGTTCCCGGTGGCTGCCAGCAATACCTGGCTTTCCTTGGCTTGTAAATGCACCAGTCTAATCTCTGCTTCCCAACCTCTGCTTCCATCTTCAGATGGCCATCTTCCCTGTCTCTGTCCCTGTGTCCAAGTTTCCCTCTTGTTATAAGGATTCTAGTCATTGGATTAGGATCCACATGAATCCAGTATGACCTCATTTTAACTTGATTACTTCTGCAAAGACCCTATTTCCAAACAAAGTCACAGTCACAGGTTCCAGATGGACATGAATTGAGGGGTGGGGGTGCCGGGGATGCTGTTCAACCCAGTAAGGACAAATTACCAAGAGATACAGTCATCAATCCAAAGGTTTATTCATTGTTGTAACTCCACACAGCAGCTCTATTACTCTTTCATCTCAGCTAATTGTTAAGAATTATAGTTTAGACTGAAAGGGAACCGAGAGGCCGGCCCGTGGCTCACTCGGTAGAGTGCGGTGCTGATAACACCAAGGCCCCGGGTTCGGATCCCATATAGGGATGGCCGGTTTGCTCACTGGCTGAGCGTGGTGCTGACAACACCAAG